GCCCACCCCCACGCCTTGTTTTAATGCTTCTCATTCAAGTCTCCTTCCCTTTTAGCACCATGTCTCTGAATTTGAGTATAGTATTTAATTAATGGAGTATTAATATTTAATTATTAGATTCTATATATTAGTTTCACTCTGTTTCTCTGGTTGTGTGCTCCGTAATTAAGGATTTGATGGGTAAAGGCTTCGGTCGGTTGTGAGGCCTTTCCTTGTCTCCCCTCAGTCTCTCTCTTTCTTTCTACACAGAGATTTTTTTGTTTGACTATTTGATATCCTGCTGATCTGATTAATTTATAATTGTGTAATGTTTGCCCTGTTTGAGGGAAAAGTATTCTATTACTAAATTTTTTTTTTCATTTTCATGATTCGAATTCGAGATTAGCTATAACAACAACATACCCAACGTAGTCTTATAAGTATAATATAAAGAGGGTGGTGTGTATGCATATCTTACCTCTAGAACTTCGCTCAAGAAACACATAACCACAGCAGTTAGGATTCTAGATATTTAGCTAATGGTGAAATTCTATTCATTCTACTATGTTTGCGTTAACGGCACAAAAATTACAAACAAAATTACTTATAAAATAATTTTAAGTAATTTTTATAAGACTATAAGTTCTATGTACTGACCGTTCGATAGAAGAGTTACACTGTCAGATAAAAGATACTTGCAAACATTAATTGTTAACATTAAAAATGAGAAATAATCTTCGATAAAAGATTAAAATATGTTGATAGTGTAAGAAAATTTTTTACGCCCTCTTAAAAATGAGAAATTATCTGCTATAAAAGGTTAAATTATATTAAAATGTGTAAGAAAGTTTTTACATCCTCAGTATATATAACCTAGACCTTTTTTATACTCTTTCCAGTTCACTTTAAATGATTTTTTGATCCTTTTCTTATGGTCTATAATATTTGATTTTTTCAGATATGAAGAAGGAATTAACTTTTTTTTCGAAGTTGCCCTTGGATTAAAGTGACTCTGAGTATCTGTTATATTTTTAATTAATAAATTAAGATTAATATGGTCAATTTCATTGTTAATTAATGCTAAAAGTTGAATTCGTTAATATATGTAAAAATAATCAAAAAATTATTTTATAAAGGTAATAATTGTTAATTAGTAACTTGACAAAAATAATTTATAACTTGCTAAAGATCTTTACATTATTAATGTATATAACTTAAATCTACATTAAAATAGATTAGAACTTAGAAGTATGGTACTTACTACTCATAATCATTTCTATCAGTGTGTATATTCTCAACTCAAAGGAGNCCCCACCCCACACACACCTTTCTCTTAGCTCTCTGTCCCCTAGCTCTTACTATATATAAACAATCCACCGCTTACAAAAAACCCAATTATTCTGTAAATCAACTCTCCTTCTTCAAATACTCTCTACCTCTCCTTTTCACCAAAAACCTTAACATTTTTCAACATCTCTCTATAAACCCATTTATACATAAATCTACAACGTAGTTCAGTTTGTTAAAGTTATTGCACTGTCTACAAAAGGAGCATCAATGGCTGAGCCAACAACACCAAACTCAGAATCTGAATCTAGCAGTTATAACTCTTGTTCACTTTCTTCTACAATTTCATCTTCATCTGTTCTTGTAAAGAATATCAACTCGAAGAACCGACTCAAGAGATGCCGTGAAGAAGAAGAAGAAAATGATGGTCAGACAAATATAAGTAAGTGTAGTAATAGTGGCAGTAAGAAAAATGGTGGCAACAAAACTAGCGACGGATCAAAACACCCATCGTACGTAGGTGTACGAAAGAGGGCGTGGGGAAAATGGGTGTCCGAAATTCGTGAACCGAAGAAGAAATCTAGAATCTGGTTAGGTACTTTCGCCACCCCTGAAATGGCGGCGCGTGCACACGACGTCGCTGCTATGTCCATTAAAGGAGGATCCGCGATCCTTAATTTCCCTCAAGTCGCCGATTTATTGCCCCGACCGGTCACGTGCTCTCCACGTGACGTCCAAGCTGCCGCCGTAAAAGCCGCTCACATGGATCATCTCAACCCAACAGAATCCTCGCCGACGCCGTCGTCATCATCGTCATTGTCGTTGGTTTCTGGCATTACATCGTCCTCGTGCGACGACGAGTCGACACCAACAGAGTCGGAGGCGGAAATTCTACCTCCGCCTCCGCCTCCGGCGATGTTAGCGCCGCAGCATGAGGAGCTGAGTGAGATAGTGAAGCTGCCGAAGCTGGACACGAGTTACGACTCGCTTGAGTCAACTCAAGAAGTATTGAGGTTCATTGAATCAGATTGGTGGGATTATGGTACAAATTGTGAATATTATTTTGGTGGAGAGAATATTAATATGGGATTTACTACAGGATTAGAAGCTGTGGTTTCGAACAGTTTTGAGAGTTTTCTATGGCAACATTAGAGGATTAAAGTGGTGTGTTTTTTTGTCATCTTATTTTTTTAATTTACACTTTTTGTAGTTTTGCTTTAGGATCAAAGGGGCTGAGAACTATATACGTTTCTTGCATCTCAAGTAGTGCTTTTTTGCCAGTTTGCAATGGCATTTTTACAGCTATAGATCCCATCTTCTTTTTCATATGGTGAAAGGACTATCACATAATTTATTTTTAGTTGATTTCTCCTTCCCCACTGTTTGTATCTCTTTTATTCTTCTTCTAATTATTTACCATCGAAAATTATTAGCCCGACTAATTCTACCAAGAAATTTCTCAATCAAATTATAGTTTTGGTTCCAGATTTCTCTTCCCTCTTTCTGTAATTTTTTTTTACATATTATAGCAGATTTATTACCATTTTATTAGATTATCAATTAATATTTGTCATAGATTTTACATATAATTATGTTATAAATGTATGATTGATTTTTTATTTGGCATCAGTAATGCATAACAAAATCTCTTGTTTTATTATATATTTATTTATTTATATATATGGTTTTTAATTAAGTTTCTCACTTATATATAACATACAAACATAACATGGGTTGAAAATAGTGAATATAATGACAATGGTTGGTGGATAGTTTAAATTTGCATTGGTTACCTTAACCTAAATCCATACCTATTCTTAAATGATTTTTAAAAACTATTACCTACATATATCTTTTCTTCGGAAGACCCGTCGTTGTTTTTTAATTTCTTGCTCTTGATTTGTAGTTATTTTCGTTAATTAAACTCTAAGTCAATCTTAAGCTTGTACTATTCCATAGCATATTCGGGGTAAAGTATGAAAAAAAATGAATATTAATTGTAGGTAAAGTGTGCCATATAATAATACTAATTACTATGTTCAATGGTAAGTGTTAGAGTAATACTAAATATTCAAGTAACGTGGTGATTAATTTAGAACTTAGTCGTGTTAGACATAAATACAAAACGTTGGAAGTATAGATGCTTGAACTAACTCCACATAGTAGTCTTTTGCTCTCTACTAGCATTAAATAACAATAAAATAATCCGGCCGGCCAAACAAATGACTTTTTTTTAACTTTAATTAAAAGTTTAAATATTAAAAATAAAATAAAATTCTTTGATACAAACGCTTTTCTTTAAAAAGCTTTATGCATCTCATATTCAAAGCGGGCAAAGGTCAGTCCGGTGCACAAAGTATTTCATGTTCATGTAAAATTCGGAGAAGGATCACACCCCAGATGAGTGTGATACAAATAACTTATTCTATTATAAGTATTTATGGCTGATTCCACGGTTCGAAGAGGGTGTTTGGCTAAGCTTGTAAGCTGGTCAAACTAGCTTATAATCACTTTTCGGCTTATCTACGCGTTTGGTAAAGTTAAAAGTGCTTATAAGCCAAGTGCTTATAAGTCAAAAATAAGTCAAAAACCATAAGTTGGTCACCCCCAACTTATAAATTTTTAGCTTATAAGCACTTTAAGTTTGACCAAAATTTTTACTATTTTATTCTTAAAATATTCTTTTTTAAACAAAACTTTTGCATCGATACTCACTGCCTCAAGTACTATTTCAACCTAACCCCTTCCCCCCTCCCCCCCTCAAGTCTGCAATGCTCATTGACTATTTAATAAGGAAATTCTCTATTCCTTTGCATATTTATATCTATGTGATTGTGTATTAATCTTTGAACCGTATGTAATAAATGAGAACATATCAAATTTTTGGTATGTTGCTTTCTAAGTGTTGTGGTAATAAAGAGAGTGTTTGGTTCTCTTCAAATATTTTATCATATTTAAGTTTATTTTTTACTGAGAAATTTTTATCAATTTATTAATTATTATAACTTATGATTATATGCTTATCATAAAATAAATTATATTTATCATAAAAGTTATCTTATCTAAGCACAGTTGTATTTAAAATAAAATGACAAATAGAATATTTTGTATTTGGATCGATTTGGAATCTAAAATTTTGAAGAAATTACTTCCTTATAAGTGTAAACACTTCTAAGGTTATTTAATTCATTTTAACAGAAAAAGATTTTATCAGCACTTTTTTATCAAATACTGCAACAGCTTATTATCAATTTCAGCACTTGTATCCAAATACGTAACTGCTTATTTATTAAATCAGTTTCAACACTTAAAAATGTTTTTCAGCACCCAATGTTTATCAGCTACTTCAAATCAGCTAATCCAAACGTGTTTTATAACCTAAGCTTTTGTTGTATACTAGCAAGTGAGTAGCAATTAAAACAAAATTTTTGAGTCATTTTATGGTGGATATTATTTCGTACCATCAAAATGGGGGTCCTAAACCAGGAGACAAATTCTGTGCTAAAAAAGTGACAGATGCTTTAATCATTCTGTGGTTCATTTTAAAACGCGTTGCCTCGATTTGATTCTTGTTAGGGACCTTCTGCCACATCTTAAGAGTAATTATTATGAGTAATTAAAGTATCAATATATATATAATTAATCCTAGTTTATTTTAATAATTTATAAATTTACTTTAATTTAGTATACTGCTTTTTTACATTTTTACCCCTTATATTTAATTACTCCGAAACTGTATTCGAGTTAAAATATATATTTTTTTGTTTCAATTTATATGTCTTAGTTTGACTTGTACTGACTTGTACGAAAATTGTTTAAAGAAAAATTCTTGATTTTATAAATGCAGTGAGATTTTAGTTGCCTATAAAAGCATATCGTTAGATAAATTGAATATTTAAGATTAAAGTGTTTTTAATTAAAAATGAATAAATTATTTTTCAATATTAAATGTGTTATTTTTCAACAAAATAATAAGAAAAATAATATCACTTAAAATGGATAAAAGAGAGTAGCTTCTTACCTTTTTTAAATAAAAGAGAAGAAAACCATAATACATCACTTTTATTCACAAACTACAATTAATCCAAATTTCAAGCCTCACTCCTCAAAATACATCACTATTGATTGTCTCATGATGTTCAATATTTGTATGATACAACGTATGTTGTAACAAGTTTCTTCTTGGGCATTATCGCTTTTAGCCCGCGTCAGAAACTAGTTATAATCGATAGCCGAAAAAGTATATAAAATTTATATAATTTTTGTATATGACATATAGAATGTGTATATATACAAAAAATATATATATTTTCGACTATTATTTTGAGAGCGGTTATACAGTGTCATTTTTCCGTTTTCTTTTTCGTGTAGGCTTTTTTTTATGATTATGATTAATATTTAAAGGAGATCTTTGGAGCAACAGTAAAATTATTTCTGTGTAATCTATAGGTCACAGGTTTGGGACGATGAATAAGCTACTAACACTTACGTTAGGATAAACTGCCTACATCATAATATCATATCTCTTGCAGTGCGATCTTTCTGCGAACTCTGCATGAACACGGAATATTTTGTGTGCCAAATTACTTTTTTTTTTTTTTATGATTATCACCTACGTGAATTTCCTATGAACTGATGTAGCCCATCAAGTCAGATAGTTTTACTTTTTTACTTTTCTTTGCAAAGCCTAAGACCAAAGTTGTTGCTTTCGTTCAAAAGCAAATGGGAAGACAAAAATAAAATTAAAAACATAATGGCTATCAAAGACTTATACAACTACGACATTGACAACTCATTCATTCAATTCCTTTTGTTCATTATATTATATTAACAGCTTTGCTCCAGCTATCAGATTCATCTCTAGCACCTATTCGCAATGCCATTTGGTTTTTTTCTGCACTCCTTCCAAATTTAGATTCGTCAGGGTTAACCTATTGCGGAAAATATTATTTTATTTTTAATTAAAGATTTTAGGTTCGAGTTTTAAATATGAAATCGTCTTTATTATAAATTTTTTAACCTTCAACGTGTGACTTTCCGACACAAATTCATACTTATGAGCTCCCATATTAAAACTGAACACCATAAAACCCCGAAAAAATCTCAAAAATAAGTTTTTATTTCTTTTTCACCTCGACATTAAAATATTTCACTAGTTTATTTTATATGACGGCGGCGGATAAATTACGAAATTTTTTATTTTTTTTTACCACATATCAAAAGCGCTCTTAAAATTTTTGATATTAAATATATTTTACTTTTTTATAGAGTATATGATTATAAGAATATGACATTAAAAGTTTAAAATCAAAAGTTTCAAAATTTAAAAACATCTCAATCTTTTCCAACTAAACTAGAAATAATTTTTTTTATTCAATATAAAACAGAAGACTAATAAATATTAGCGTATAATTCAAACAGATATTCCAAAAATCATTTTCCTATTTAGGATCTCTTTCATGATCGGGTGTCTTCATTAATAATACATTTCTTGATTTAGAACTTGGAAAATCTCACCCAATTTGATTTTGTTATAATAAAATAGGGAACACGCATGGAAACTTCTTATTTCTTTTTATTCTATAATGTTATGGGAAAAAAATTATCCTCTTAATTTAAATTTCATGATCATTATATCCTTAAAAAATTAATTACAAACATCAATTAAAGCACGTGGCACTTGGCAGCGTGGGTGATATATTTTCTTAGAGGGAAAAAAGAAAGAAAACAAATGCATCTCGTTGCAGCTTTTTCTTTTTCTTTTTCTTTTTGTGTGTTTTTGTAACTTTTTCATTAAACAGGAGAGCGAGAAAAAAAGAAAGAAAGTGATAGTGGGAATCAAAATCACACTTATTGCATGAAAATCTTTCACTAATTCCACTACACTATAAGGGTCTATTTGGAAAAATCATGCCTAATTACCTGGTTGTATAATTATTACGTTAGTAATTTATGTTCTAGTAATTGCACAATATAATAATTATACGCTCTGTTTGTTTGCCATAACATAATTATAGTGTAATTTTCACTATCATGTTTGATTGGACAAGTGTAATTACATAGTTAAATATATTTTTTAGATTAATATATGGATTTTACTGAGTGACAAACATATATATAATAATAAGTATCAAAATTAAATTTATATGAAGTATTTAAGTCTACCTAATAGAGCTTTGATACAATTACTCAATGAACTTCATTTGCTAAATTACCATTTTTATGATAGGGTAAATTTATAATTACGTTTCAGGAGTTGAACTAAGCATAAAATTACTATAGAAAATTAAATTATAGGCCACAGAGGTCTTCACTAAGCTGTTTGAGAGGCTTAATCATTCAACTACTACTCTTCCCCAAACACAATATCCATAA